TGCTATACAAGGATATTACAACACCGGAGCTTCAAGAAAAATGTCATTTAATATAGCACTCTAGTAGAATAAATGTCAACACTACTACAATTCATAACACCACAACACTAGAAATTATTATTGCAATACTAGTACTAGAGTCTCAAGAATTAAAGTACCAGAGTGGTGAACTACACAAGGCCATAGTATTGATTGATATATTCAAGCACAGCAATGTTCAACTTTTGTACCTCTATGGTAGAGTAGTTGAAGAAATGTGGAGCCACCCCAAATCAGCCAAATCGTTGGTTTAGCATATAGCCATGTTGGATAATTTTAGCATTATTGTGGTGCCTACTTAGTAGTGTTGAGGTGTTAGTTTTGTAATGTCGTGGCACCACCATGTCAAGTGCCACGACACCTAAGTCCATTTATGTACATAATATAAATGGTTTTTCAATCTTTTTGTGTGGGGTGTTCTATTATTTCAGTGAGTCTTGAATGCTTAAGTATAGTGTCAACTTAGAGTCAAGTCTAAGGGGACTAGAGAAGAGAAAGATATGGTAATTGGAATAGTTGGCCTACCTTATTATGAGAAAGAAATAAATCAAATAAGATAGGAGTGTAGAGAGTTAAAGTTGTACTATTATGGTGATATCTATTTACACTTTTCTCCTTATACTTTCTTTTCGGAGCAACAATAAATCTATTTTATTTTATTTTAATTTTATGGCTAGATAAAACTCTAAGTTTTGGGCTAATGATGTGAAGCTTTTGTAATTACTAACATATATTCTTATACTTTAATGAATTAGTGGGTATTTTTAATATCTCCCATTCTTAATTTAATCTATAAGTGGCCATGTGTAGAGTGAAAATATTGTGTGATATATTACCTCAATGGAGAATATTGGAATAATTAATAATATTAAAATGGAACTCTTACATGTCTAGACATAGGATGTTTAGGGTTCTAGAGTCTGTGGAGAAATAATAATTCTTAGAGGACTATAAACATTCCATCATTTCTTTATAAACTCGATGGAGATCTAAGGATGCATAAGCTCTGATTCAGAACCAACATCGGAGAGTCTACTTAGGAAAGATTTGATAATTTTTTCTCATTAGTCCAAAACATGTTATTTACTAGCATCTTATCTTTCAGCTCCATTTCTTAGTTAGGATAGAATCCAAACCTAATTTTTGTCTTGTAGGATAAATCTTGTATATATAATAGACAATACTAGAATAACTACATATAATCAAAATATTTTCTCGTGGGATCAACACTCTCTCACTTAACTTTTATTACTCGATCATCATGTGCATTTACATTATTTTTAGGGAATTTATATCAAAGAAAATTTAAGCATATTTCATACTCCTCTACCTGCTCACCATCACTTACGAACTAAGTATAGAGGAATAATGGCACATGGATTTGTTAGTTTGTGCCTTTTTCTAAGCAAATCTATGAAATCTTCAATTTATTATTTATTTTCTTTTTATACTTTTTAATTCTAATGTTATATAATTTATTTTATTTATAATCATAATAATTGGAACAATCTCCTTAGTTTCCTTTACCTTATAATCCTTGATCTCTACAAGACTACTAGATTTAGTAATTTGGCTTTCCTTACTAACTTGAATTTCACAATCCCTTTTTCATCATGTACAATCTCAATAAGAGCATCCATTTTCTACTTCAATCTTAGCTGATTATTCTTCAATTTTTGAAAAAAAAAAATCCTTTAATTGATTAAAAGAGGGCATGTCCTTCTATTAATTTGACTATTTTTATTATTTTTACATGTACCTCCTTTTAAACTTCTTTATCAAAGAGACCATCAAACTTTCTTTCAAAATGTGTTGTCATCATTATGTCCATCATGACTCTAACTTTGAGAGGCTAATGAAGACTATGAATAATAGACTATTAAAGCCTTCCTCATTAGCTATATGTATTGGAATTTGGTAAATAAGTACTTACTAAAAATATGACTATATAAATTTAAAATAAAGTTTATTACCAATACCAATTTACTTAAATTATTATCTAAAACATAATAGAATGCAAATAACATAGACCTTTATTGAAAAATATTGGTAAATAATCTTTTTCTTTCTTTCATTTTTTTAGCACTTTATTGCTTCTACATCCTAGGAAAATTCTCTATAATAAATTTAATAAAGGTCGTCTCCATTATTGAAAGGACCTCATATGCTCAGTATGATAAGGAGATTGCATATCCACTAAAAATGAATTGGGTTGGGACTTTATTTTTAGTTTTATTATCAACCTTCTAGACATTCCCCTTTATATGTATCATTCCTTATAGAACCTTTTAATTATTTTCTACCATAAAAATCATCCTAATGGTTACAAAAAAAAAAAAAATTCTTCTTAAACTATTGCTAAGATCTCAATAAAAATAGTAATGTCACTCTTATAATTGAGTAGCAATCCATCAATACTCAAATAGAGAAATAACATTTATACATCTTCAACTATGCATTATAATAATGATTAAAATTTAGATAATTATAAATAAAACCCATACGTGTTGTCATCTCCTTAAACTTCTTATAAGTGAAATAGTCATAAAAATGGAATCTAATTATTGAAGAAAATTCAAAGATTTTAAATCATGTATTATTACCTCCAAAATCAAACATAATTTAGTAACCATAATTCTTCATATCATTGTACTTCCATAGGAGAAGCTAATGAGTTAAGGGCTGAGATAACTATAGGTCTAGAGCATTAGAGAATTGCTTTAAATTGGATTTCTTAGTTCTCTTAGAAAAAACACATTTTTTAAACTATTTTATAACTTTCTCCTCGCATCACCAATTCTATACATGACTAGGGATGGTAATGCATCTCTATGTGAATAATTAGTTTAAAGATTTATTTCCATATAAAATTAAATCAAATGAATAAATTCCATGCAAGTAAACAAGGAAGCAAAAAAATTATATTTGCAAGCTCAAAACTCATTCAAACCCAATTTTAAACCTATGTTATGAAGTAAATAATAAAATACTAGGTTCTAAGCCTAGGTTCACCCATATTGTAAGCTCAAACTAAGATTTAAACCTCTATTCTGAAGCTAATTCTCAAATCCTATATTTAAAATTAAATTTCATACTAATTTTGAAATACAATATAAGGTTTGAGTAAAGTTTTAACCAAGTTCAAACACATAATGTGTGGTTTGAACTTAATTCAAACAATTTTTTTTTAAAAAATTTAAATCTCCTTAATGTACCCTTGGATTTAAATATTCTAAGGAATTATGCTTGATGCAAATGTTCTTTATTTAGCTTAGGAACCTAGGAATGTGATTAGTGGGTTGTAGAAGTTATTGTGTTGATATGAGGGTCATTCAAGTAGGTTTATGTCCACTATTGGTTAAGGCACTAGTGTAGGATTATTGAATTATAGGTTGATCATAAGATGACCTTCAAAATTTAAAATCACTTTGAAGTGGTGTGGGAATGTTTATATATTGGTTATAGAATTTGTAGGAGTTTTATCATAGAGATTGGGGTTAAATTTAAGGAAAAACTAAGACTAGGTCATGTATGACCTAGTTTGAAATTTTTTTAGAATAGCCTTAATTTTTTTTTTTAATTTTTTCTTATGTAAGATGGCAAGAAATATTTGAAAAGACTTTGGGGATGTTTCTCCATGTGTTCCGAAGTTTAGGGAAAATTCTCAATGGGTTTAGGTTGTGAAAATGCAATAAAAGTATGGATAGGTCAAAAAATAGCTACTTTGGCATTCTTTAATATTTAGTTATTACACAAATGATTACATATTAATATATCATTCCTAAAGTTTCCCTATAAAATTTTGAATTCTCAAGTGGTTGGAGTAGTAGCTCTTCAAACAAGGGGCGTTTAGTGCTTTACACGGATAAAAAAAGGGGCCAATCCCTATTTGTTAGCATGTTTGTTGATGTTGCACTTCTTCGATAATTTGTCTCCCCCCATGTAAGATTTAAGTTATAGAAGAATCCATGTTACACCCCACCAAATTAAATGTCAATGGAGATAGCTTTAACATTTTACTTGTAAATTGACTAGTCTTGATTTTATTCATTGGTTAAACTTTCACCATAGGGTAAATTAATGCACTCTAGCTAATTGATGGACTTAATACATATTCATATAATCATTACATAATTTAGAATGCAAATGCATAGCCCAAAATGCACAACATAAATTCATATATAACCATATAAAAATATTTTCCTTAAGCTATAATACATGACAAAAATAATTAATGAAACATGAAAGCTTAATTAAATTTAGTATTTCTCTTCCATAGATCTTGTGACGGGCCTATGATGCACCGCATCATATGTTATGTTTATATATTTTTTAAGCTTGTTTAAAGTTATTTTTTAAGCCTAGAAATTTAACCTAATACTTAAAGCTATTGTTCGGACTCAACATTAAAAACTTTTAAACCTACATATTTAACCTAATGCTCAAAGCCCTTGTTTGAACCCAACATTCAAACTAATCTCCTTCATTCTATGATTAATGGCAGCAACATGAGACTATCGACGTTGGAAGAAAGTCAAATGCATGAAACATATTCCATTTTCTTGATAATTAAAAAAGCTCATATCTTCTTAGAAGATAAATTCCTATATTATAATAATATAATTAATACATTGTAGAATTATTCAAAAAAAAAAAAACTTATATAATTTCAAAAAAAAAGTTCATGTAAAGTAAGTAACACAAAATAAAATATAGTTCATAAGCAAATATTTTTTTATAAATGTAATTTTGATACATCAAAAGCATATATTAATTAAAATAATTATCGTATTTCAACTTCCATCATAAATATATGAATGCTGTCGGTAGTTACTAATGTTATTTTACCAGTAAAAGGTTTGTCGATTGTCAATCACCTTCTTTGCCCTATCATTCTTAGCGGAAACAGCCTATTAATTAGAAATTAAACCCCCCATCTCCTCTATAAAAGGAGATTGAAAGGGACTTGAAAAAAAGGGATTAGCGTCTACGCGGAATACCCATATTAGATCTCTACTTCCCTCTCGGTTCTCAAGAAGAGATCTCGATCACCATTGCACATTGGATCGAGAAATAAGAGGTAGGAGATGGAGCTCTTCTATTACCTTCTCTTCGGCGGCCTGTCGGCGGTTGTAGCGCTACTTGAGCTAAGCAAGACCAGCAAGGATCGCATCTCCACCTCCACAGCGTTCAACTCCTTCAAGAACAACTACCTCGTAGTCTATTCTCTTATGATGGGTTCGTGATTTCTTCCCTCTCTAGATCTCAAATCCGTACTGATTTTTGCTTTCTAGAATTGTCTTTCTTCCGTTGGTAGCCCTCGAGGAAATCGTGGCTCCATTACCCGATCTTGGTTTCGGTTCAAACAATCATTGGTTCTGGGGATCTACTTTTATTTTGGCCGCATTGCACGAGGAGTAATGTCGCGTAGAAAATACTAGATAGCTCCGTTTATTCTGACGCAAGGCACGCTTTTCGTTAGCTATTTTTTGGAGCTGATTTGTGGATTTGGGTTATTATTAAAAGTTTAGGGTTTCCTACCCTGCTTTTATTTTTAAAAAATGTTTAGAGTTGGCTTGCGTGATATTAAGTTCCTCTCAGCCTGTATCTTTGAATCTTGTAACTAATCTGTTAGAAGTGAATATACCGTAGATCTGATGATAGAATTCCGATGGGGTTTGGAGATGAATTTGTTTAGAATGCGTGCAATTTTTACAGATATAATTGCTCTATGCTAATTATGGTTTGCGATTTTGTCAGCCGGGGATTGGTTGCAGGGCCCTTATGTGTACTTCCTCTACAGTCAGTATGGATTTGACAAGGGAGACATTGGTCGTCTATTCATTGCTGGATTTGGCTCTTCCATGTTGTTTGGAACCATAGTTGGTTCTCTGGCTGACAAACAGTGAGATTTCATAATGCTTATTTTTTCCTTTTTCTATAACATATATCAGCCTTGAGAAGACCTGTATGGTTATACATTTTTATAAATATGTCTTTGGGATCTAAATGCAGAGGTCGTAGGAGGGCATGTGTTACCTATTGCATAACTTACATTCTTAGTTGTATCACAAAGCATTCTCCACAGTACAAGGTCCTAATGCTTGGTCGTATCTTGGGTGGAATTGCTACATCCCTGTTATTTTCGGCCTTTGAATCATGGCTCGTTGCAGAGCACAATAAGGTGATGATAAATTGCAATTTCTAGTTTTGTTGATTTGCCTCCTTTAACTTATTATATATTCTTGCTGAATATTTTCTTTCAAGTCATGGCCATTAGCGCTTAGTCATTGACTGAATTGATCTAGTTTGAAAACTTGTTTGACTAGGGCAAAGCGGTCCATACTTTTAAACCACATGACTGTTATTTTTACAATAAAAGAATGCTTCTCCATAGAAAAAACAGATCATCTCCTGTATATGAAGACAACATATGGTTTAATAGATGAGAGATTCTCACACACACCACTAAATTTTTATCTATTTACATATTATATTTACTTATATAACATTGTAGCGTCAAAATAACACTAAATATTTATGAATGTAAATTGCCCTTTATTAATTTATGTGATGTTTTCTGTATTATGGGTAACTAGTTTATTATTATTATCACCAAATATAAATTTCTGGCTTTTAGAATTAAATGAGTTTTGCTTGGTGGAATATGTGTTGGACTTAAATATTTATAATATACTTTCAAAGATGAGAATTTGGAATTGCATAGCTTTTATTGACCACCCATGCTAATAACTTAATTAGTATTCCACTAGCTAAGCTCTTTATGGCTAAGCCTCTTCACATAAAACACTGATTTACCATCTATGTTGGCAATTATTTCATTATTTTATATTAAGTGTTAGTTCTTTCTTGTAATCTTTGTCAACTCCTTGCAGAGAAGCTTTGAACCTCAGTGGCTATCCTTGACTTTCTCAAAGGCTATATTTCTTGGTAATGGTCTAGTTGCCATTGTGTCAGGGCTGTTTGCTAATATATTGGCAGATAATTTGGGCTTTGGCCCTGTTGCCCCTTTTGATGCTGCTGCATGCTTTCTTGCTATTGGCATGGCAATCATATTATCCTCATGGAGTGAAAACTATGGAGATTCTTCTGATAACAGGAATTTATTTTCTCAATTTAAAGGCGCTGCAGTAGCCATAGCTTCTGGTTAGTATTACTTCTGATTATATTGTTAAGATACCCTTGCCTGTTTCTTAGTCCCATACATGTTGCCATTTCAGATGAGAAGATTGCTCTCTTGGGTGCAATACAGTCACTGTTTGAAGGCTCTATGTATACCTTTGTGTTTTTGTGGACTCCTGCTCTAAGCCCAAATGAGGAGGATATTCCTCATGGGTTTATCTTTGCTACATTCATGCTTTCTTCAATGTTGGGAAGCTCCATTGCATCGCGGTTGTTGGCTCGCTCAGCACCAAAAGTGGAAAGCTATATGCAGATCGTTTTTGGAATCTCTGCACTAACTCTTCTCCTCCCTATTATCACTAATGTTAGTCTTCCTTTTTTTTCCTCCCTTTTACTATCTTATATGTTATTGTTATGTTGTGACCGTTAAGTGAAAATTGGAGCAGTTCCTAGTGCCATCTACTGGAGTAAAAAGTGGCAGCATCTCAGTTGCAGGCTGTATCCAACTCTTTGGCTTCTGTACCTTTGAGGCATGTGTTGGGATATTTTGGCCATCTATCATGAAGATGAGATCTCAGTACATTCCGGAGGAAGCCAGAAGCACAATCATGAACTTCTTTCGCATTCCTCTCAACATATTTGTCTGTGTTGTTCTTTACAATGTAAGTATCTGGGGTTTCGTTTCCTCTGTAGATGTGGTAGATTGTAAGCCTCAAAGTTTTTGTTTCTTAAATTTTGATTAGATAGTACTTGTACATTAGTAAAACTGCTGTAGTTTGCTATTTTTTCTGGATTGTGAAAACTAGTTATTTGGAACTTCATGCCATATCTGTATCGAGTTTTTTTGGAATTATAGAGATTCTTCATTTTGATGTATATTCTGTTCATTTGGTCATTGAAGGTGAATGCATTCCCCATCACTATCATGTTTGGCATGTGTTCTATTTTCCTCTTCATGGCTTCGGTTCTGCAAAGGAGGCTAATGGTGGTTGCTGAGAGCCACAAATCAAGTAAGTACATATCTTCCGAAGGAAAAAGCATTAGTATTAGTTCTTTTAAGAGTTTATCTTGATATGTTTCTTTTAAATCATCCCTTGATGGGAGAAAATAGCATCATACAATGGTAAGTTGCCGAATTCTTAACCAAGTAGTTATAATTCCACTTCATTTCTCTAACATGTCTTGGATGTAGTTAGAAGTTAAGCGCCAATGCTTATCAGATTTTCACATTACTTCGGTAAATCTTAAGATCTAATCAAGCGAAGTTTTGTATTGTTCAGCACTCTTAGCAGCTACTGTTTGTAACGTTTTCCGCGCTTTCTCTTAACTGCCTGGTAGGATTTACCTATGTAATGAATGTTCATTGAGGTACGCTTCTTCTGTAGTAAACCATTGGTGGCATATCTAGTCTTTTACTGTAATTCTTCATCCTTATTTGCTATTTGTTTATTCAATTATTGGAAAGGTTTGTTCTCTCCTGCTGATCGAGAGCTAAATTCATGGTCCTTCCTGGATACTTTACGAATTTATTTTCTATTAAACAATGCCACAGCCAGCTCCCACCATGCACCCACCCAATACACTGATTGTAGACCTTACCTTACAGTATATTTTTTGTTTCCACAGTTTAATTTCTTGTTTCCTTCGAATGTAATTGAGCTACTCCATGAAATGAATTAGCTGTTTTCTTTTACCGTCAAAAGTTGGTCAAGTTAAGGCGTGGAATTGTATTCTTTCGGTATTAACTTGATCTTTGTAGTTCTCAAATTGCGTGATGAACTACAAAGATTTTTTTTAATAACAGCAGTAAATTTGCAAGAGGTTGTACCTTGGTGTATGCTTTTTGCTGATGATATTCTTCTTGTTGATAAGACTAGAGAGAGAGTTGACGGTAAACTTGAATTATGGAGGTCAACCTCTAAAGGCTTTCGTTTGAGTAGATGTAAAGCTGAATATATGGAGTATAATTTTAGTAATAATAGATCTAGTGGGGGATTGTGAATTTGGATGATAATAAGAGTACACATTTTAGATATTTTGGGTCTATTGTTCAGAGTGATGGTGAAATAGATGGGGATATTATTAGTAGAATTCAAGTTGGATGGTTGAAGTGGAGGAATGCATTGGGCTTGTTGTGTGATAGAAAAGTCTCTTTCAAACTTAAAAGAAAATTCTATAAGATGTTAGCGAGACCTGCAATGTTTTATGGTGTTGAATGTTGGCCATTAAAAGAGAAGCATAATATTAAGTTAAGTGTTGCAGAGATGAGGATGCTCAGGTAGATGAGTGGCTTTACTCTTAGGATAGGACACAAAATAAGCATATACGTGAAAAAGTTGGAGTAGCTCTAGTGGAAGATAAGATTAGAGAGTCGCCTTAGGTGGTTTGGTCACATAAACGGCAGCCTTCCAATGACCCGGTTAGGAAAGTAGATGTATTAGATTTGAATTATGTTAAGAAAGGTAGAGGTAGACCTAAAAAGGCCTTCTGATGACCCGGTTAGGAAAGTAGATGTATTAGATTTGAATTATGTTAAGAAAGGTGGAGGTAGACCTAAAAAGACTTGGTTATAAAATATTATAAATAACTTTTCTTTATTAGATTTAGATAATAATTTGACTCTTAACATGACACAATGGTGAAAAAGGATTCATGCACATAGTGGGATAAAGGCTTGTTGTTTTTGATTTTGTAACTGTAAATTTAACATGTTGGCTTCTAACTGAAGAAACATTCGTCAAATTTTACTGAAGAAGGTTTTTTTTTTTTTTTTTTTTCTTTTTAGAAAAATGGCGTTGGAGCTTCAATTCCTATTATTTTCCTGTCTACATCATCCAAGAAACCATCCTCTAATTCATTTTAAAGTCAACATTTTTTTATTTTTGAACCTAAAATTCTGCAATAATGGCCTGCCTCAAAAGTTTATATGCTGTGTTTCAATTAGAACCTGGTTAGTTATCTCTTATTGCCGCCATATCTTGTTTCAGAGCCACAGGACTGGAGTGCATTGAAAGAGAGGGACAATGAGACGGAGCCATTGAACATCTAATTAATACTCTACCTCAATTGGAGTTCTCAAAACCTTAGTTGCTCAGTGTTTCCTACAATATTTACATATTCCAATTCCTCACGCTCGTGATACATAAGAATGCTTCTGCTGAAGATTGAACGAGTTCTAATGCCTTCAGCAACAACCGAAGAATTAGCAATTTTCTCGCATTATAAGCCAAGTAATCGTAGAATCTCAGTTTGAGTTCGTATTTCTGAGTGTCAAGTGGTTGGTTGTGGCAAAGCATATGCAACTATATCTGCTAAGCTATGCTACTAGTCTCAATTTTAAGCACCATTTGTTTTATAGTATATGTAATAATATTGCTATCTTCCCTTGTTATCAAATTTGTTTCACGTCTGGCAGTTTGCTTCCGTTTGGTCCCTCTCTTAATTTAAGCAAAGAATTCCCGTTCGTTGTAACTTCAGTAAACTGTTCGATTTCCATTTGGTATTTTGCTGACAGAAAGCGCTCATATAAATTGACTGAAATGTAGTTTTTATGGATCTGTGTTATGTTTTGCTGAAAACTGATATTGTGCATATGTAAATGGCTGAGAACTATAAATGTGTTATATAACCTTTATGAAACAAACTGTTTAACTCGATCACAAACTGTGGATCTCTGGACAATTTGATATGAATTAGTTAGGTCATATGATATTGTATTTTTTACTAACATTTTAATAATAAAATTATAAGATTAGTATAACATTTGTTATAGGTAACATTTGTTGCTTTGAATTCAAAAACCTGATCTGGTACAAAATAGTTATTTGCAGACAATGATGTTAGTTCACATTGTCATATATGATGTTTGGTTGCAAGTAAGATCAAAGTCAAGGTATAGGCTTTCATTTGTTATTCTCTCTCTTTTGTTTTTTAATTTACATGATGGACGAAAGTATTATTTTTTATGAAGTCGCCTATGAAAATTTTTATATTGCAGGCGCAATTGTGAACATATTTATTGCATAACTTAATAAGTCTCTTGTATATGAAACAGTACATGACAGCCTTTTACTCATCTAACGAACCTTCTATCATCGTAGCTCGTGTTATAACGCCATCCAGTACATATTCACATTTAATTGTTTGACTAATTAAATGTGGCAGCAAATTGGAATAAACTATTTACTAAATTTAAGTTTACAAATCAATCTACTTAAATTGTTAGTTAATTATATTTAATTGTAAATAGTTATGTTGGAAGTTTTGGTTATCAATTAAATTACAAGTCAATCAATTAAGTGTTGTGTATGAGATGTGTGTGTGAGTCAAGGTCGTTGATACGGCTCGTTGGTTGAGGGTATAAATTTCTCCCGCTCAGCCCATGTTTGAATCTCTTAATTTGTTAAAAAAATAAAAAATAAAACATATTGTTAATTTGAAAGGTACGATAGGGAAAAAGCTTTTAGTTTTATTGCATGAATTCTTCCATATATATAGATCTATACAAGACATTTAATAAGGAAACAAATAACTACACAATAATGAAATATAATTCTTCCTAAATCAATTGCCTATCTATGGAAGGTGTTTCAATGTGATTCATGAGCGCTTCCCACGTATTGCTCTTTGTGGCCATCAGATCTTTTGCACAGGAACGACTGGATTTCAACGCTCCCCCTCAAGCTGGGAAATATGGATCTGTCATTCTCAACTTGTCAATCATTCTAAGAAAGGCGGAACTGTCCAATCCTTTGGTAAGAATGTCTGCAAGTTGATCTTTTGATGATACATAGTCGATACTTACTAGATCACTATCTAGTTTTTCTTTAATGAAATGCCTGTCTACTTCTATGTGCTTGGTCCTGTCATGCTGGACTGGATTGTGGGCTATGCTGATTGTAGATTTGTTGTTGATTGTAGATTTGTTGTCACAATGTAGCTTCAAGGGCTCATCCCACTTGTCCTTTAAGTCTTCTAGGATTATTTTGATCCATAGTAGTTCACATATTCCCAAAGTCATAGCTCGATATTCTGCTTCTGCACTAGATCTTGCCACTACATTCTGTTTCTTGCTTCTACATGTAACTAGATATCTCCAAAAAATGTGCAGTATCCAGAGGTAGATCTTCTATCAACAGGTGATCCTGTATAGTCAGCATCCGTGTATACTTCTAGGGTTATTCTGCTATCTCTCTTAAAGACAATCCCTTTTCCTAGGTTTCCTTTAAGGTAGTGCAATATCCTGTCAATTGCTTGCATGTGGACTTGCTTTTGATTTTGCATAAACTGACTGACCATGCTTATAGCAAATGCTATATCTTGTCTAGTGTGAGAAAGATAGATTAATTTCCCTACCAATCTCTGGTAGGCCCCTTTATCCACATCTGGATCCTCTCTAGTTTCCCCCAGTTTAAGTTTAGGTTCTACTGGTGTTGGTGCTGGCTTACATGTTAGTTTTCGTGTTTCTTTTAGAAGATCTTTAATGTACTTTTGTAGTGAGATGAAGATTCCTTTGTTGGAGTGAGCAACTTCGATTCCAAGAAAGTATTTTAGTCTACCAAGTTCTTTGATGTCAAATTCCTTGGTAAGACTTTTTCTTAGACTATCATTCTCCTTTACATTATTTCCAGTCAAGATTATATCGTCCATATACACTAGCAATATTGTGACTCCCCCTGAGTCTGAATGTTTAAAGAATAGTGTATGATCCCCTTGGCTTTGTTTATACCCGTTAAGGAGCATAAACTTAGAGAACCTTCCAAACCAGACCCTTGGTGATTGTTTGAGCCCATATATGGCCTTTTTTAATTTGCACACTTTGTCACCTTCAGATTTTTCCTTGAACCCTGGTGGTATTTTCATAAATATCTCTTCTTCCAGATCCCCATGTAGGAATGCATTTGTCACATCCAATTGTTCCAGATGCCAGTTGTACTTCACTGGTAGTGAGAGTAGTATTCTGACAGTGTTCATCTTGGCTACATGTGCAAAGGTTTCTTGATAGTCAATGCCATATGTTTGTGTACCCTTTTGCCACTAGTCTTGCCTTATATCTTTCTAGTGTGCCATCAGCTCTATACTTTATGGAGAATACCCATTTGCATCCAACCGATTTTTTTCCTAACGGTAGAGTGATGATTTCCCATGTTTTGTTCTTTTCTAGGGCCTGCATTTCATCTATCATGGCATTTTTCCAATTTTTATCAGACAAGGCCTTAGAAATATCTTTAGGAATATGGATATCTTCTATTATAACCAAAAAAATTTTATGAGAAGATGAGAAGTTGTTGAAGGATATAGAGTTGGTTATAGGATATAAGGGGGTGGTGAGCTTACCTTATGTTCAGGAGATGGTTTAGATTCTTGGATATGCTTTGGAGTATAATCTGAATTTGTACGCCTGGAGTATACCTGTGAGATCTCGTTCCCTTACTGTTCCTCTCTGAATTGGATTTTCCTCCCAGGATCGGCCGGGACGATATTGAGATCGTCCAGGCCGATCAGTGCATTGAAAACGGCTGATTTCTGGAGTGTTTTCTGGAATGATTTCTGGACTGGATCGTCCAGGCCGATTTTGGATCGTCTTGGGACGATCAGTGCTTGGCAAAATCCCGAGAGCAAGGGTTTTTGGCAAATTAATTATCGGCCTGAGGAATCGTCCGGGCCGATTGGATTTTGTTCTGATCGGCCAGGACGATGTGGCGATCGGCCGGGCCGATCAGGCTTAGGATATAAGCAAATCAGCTCGTTTTGAGGAGAGAGAAAATTATTTTATAAAATGAAAATATCTGAGGAGAGAGAAAGAGAAAGGAAAAGAGAAGAAAGCTTGGATTTCGGAGGCCGCGGAGCGCTTTTCGTCCGTCGCCACTGTTGAAAGAATTGAAGATCTCGTGTGCATATTGATAGCGTCGTCGTGCTTTGATTTCAGTTGTAGGCTTTGGTGACCTGCTGGGCTATTTAAGCTCATTATATGTGGTTGACAATTTCAGGTCCGAGCAAGACAACTGGAATGGAGTTCGATTAGAATGTCAGACGAATCCTTTCACTATGGATGCCTAGGGCGTCACAATACCTTCCCAAATCTAATTTGTACGCCTAGAGTATACCTTCCCAAATCGAATGACAGCTTTGTCTTTTGTTTCCTTGTCCTGATTTTCAGGTGGATTGGTTTGAGGTGGTGGAGGAAGGTCAAGAGGTGGTAGTTCATTTTCCTCATCTTCCTCAAGTTCAGTCTCCCCCTGGAGATGAGGTTTGAAAAAATAAGAACTTTGTTCATCAAAAGTAACGTCAACAGAAACAAAGGTTTTTCTTGTAGGAGGATGATAACACTTGTAACCTTTTTGGGTAGCTGAATAGCTAATAAAGATGCATTTAAGTGCTCTTAGATCTAGTTTTCATCTATTTTGGTTATGAATATGAATGTAGGCTGTGCACCCAAATATTTTTGGTGTAAGGTTATTATGGGTTCGAAATTCGGGGTAAAATGAGGACAAAATTTTCATTGGAGTTTTGAGTCTAAGGGTTGTTGAAGGAAGTCGGTTTATGAGATAAGTTGCAGTTAGGAGAGCTTCTCCCCAATAGGATTTGGGTATATTATGGTGGAATAGAAAAGCTCGAGTGGAGGTTAGAAGGTGACCATTTTTTCTTTCTGCGACCCCATTTTGTTGTGGCGTGTGAACGCAGGAGGACTCATGAATGATCCCTTCACTTTGGAAGTTGGAGGAAAAGGTTTGGTTAAAATAGTCCTTGGCATTATCGGAGCAAAATCTCCTTATTTTCACCCCAAATTGATTTTGGATCATGGTATGAAATATGGGAAGAATGATGTTAACATCTGATTTATTTTTGAGGAGATAGATCCAAGAGACTCTAGTGCAATCATCATTGAATGATACAAACCATCGTGCCCCAGAGATATTGGGGATTTTTTAGGGTCCCTATATATCACTGTGAATAAGATACAAAGGAGTATCACATCTCTCATTTTTATTTGGGAAGGAAGATCTTTTATGTTTAGCTAACTCACAAGTTTCACAATGAAGATGTTTATTTTCTAATTTATGAAAATGTTGTGGATACATGTGTCTTAGGACATCAAAGGATGAGTGTCCTAACCTATAATGATGAAGCCAAATAGTGGAATTTTTTTCAACTAAGGACATCATAGAGCAGCTATTTTTAGATTGGTTCAGTTTTTCCAAGTAATACAATTTAGTTTTCTCCTTAGCAAGTCCAATCTTCTTCCCCGGTCTCTGGTCCTAAAATAAGCAATATGTAGGGTTAAATAACGTTTGGCAATTATGATCATGGTAATTTTTTGGATTGAAATTATATTTTATTATACTCAACTTTTTTTAATATGGCTTAATCAGAGAAAAACTTCATACTGTTGTTGGATCATTATACAGATTTGATAATTAACCAGTGCAAGTTGAGGGGATATTTACTCTCACTCTCTCATTGGGGACAACATTATTTTTGGGAGAATTTTGCAATCAATTTTTGGAGCTATCGCCTCAGTAGCACATCTTAAGATAAAATTCCAAACTACGGCT